TTATTAGTTCTCGTGCAATAAGCGTTTTTGTGAAGCTCTAAAAATTACAACTACAACATTTGAACATAGCCCCCATACCTTAAGGTAAGACGTATTCTACGTCAAAACGCAAATTTGTGTTATAGCCCAATTGAATGTGAAATCACACAAATTTGCTTTATTTCATTTCTCGTTGAGCAATAAAAATGCTCTACGGATCATTCTGAGCAACTTTGCTTAAGAAACTATGGGTCTGAAACCAGTTTCGAGACAGGGAGTTTTAAGGGGAAGTTTCTTAAGCAAATAGCTAATCTATTAGTGTAAGGGCACAAAAAGTTGCCTGGTTCCGACAAAAAAACATAAAATAAAATAGCTAACAAAAACCTGGACCTGTAGCACACTCCCGTTGGCTAACCGAGGCCGGTCGAATTTTACGATTGTACGTTGCAACAAGTTCACCACCTTGTAACTTAAAAACTCTAGAATAATACCTAAAAAGAATTTATGTTCCGATGTACTTTAACATTAAATATTATCGTTCTGTTATACACGACAGTCCGCTTCTATTCAAATATATCCGGCAGAAATAACTCATATTTTGCTCATCCAGCAAATGTATGCTATCAATGATTTACGATGATTATAAATCAGTACGCGATCAGGCAATAAAAAAAAATGTGTACTACCTTGACAACATTTTCGAAACAGAAGAACTTAGAGAGTACAAGAAATGTAAAGTTAATTTTTTAATTTTGACTGCTCCAATTATTTCAGTGTGATAGATTTGGATGATGACTATGTTTTAACAGAACCGCCAATAACTACATTCCACATTTCCCATTTGAAGGAATATTTAGAATTTGTAGACCCACCACTTCCTGACCCACAAGTTCCATGCCACATACAAGGAACTGAACGATATGTTCAACTGCTAACCAGTGTTTCTCGGCGCGTAACGCAAAAAAATAGTGAAAGTGTTATGGCTGTGACTCGGAAAGCAAGCAGGATTTAAAACCATAATTATTTAAGTATTAAAAAAAATAACCGCTTTTTGTACCCTTACACTCATAAATCAGTTATTTGTTTAAGTTTTTCCCACAAAATTTTGTATTACCTCAAATGAAACTTCCCCTTAAAATTCGCAATCGTATTTTTTTAAGGGACGTTTTCTGTACGTAAGAAGTCTTTAAAAGGTGCATTCTTTTGTAAAGGAGCGGGAAAAGAATGCCCAACTCGGGTAAAATTTCGTTCTAGCTACTTAAACAACCCTGTTGGAATCTGGCAAGAAACATGATTAAAAGGATTTATATACAAAAACCAATGGAAATGAATAACTTTGCGAGCTATTCGCGTAATAAACTTATTTAAAATATTTATCAAGTATGTATGTATGTATATAAAGAAGAAAAAATTTCTCTAAGCACTTCTCATCAAAAATTCATGTACAGCAGTTTTTTCACTTAACAACACTACGCATCGGGTCGCGTGTTTTTTAACCAACTTGACTGAACTCGAATAAACAGCCGAGTTTGTGTTAAAGCTCCTAAGTTATTTCAGGAAAAATACAAAACGAACCTCTTTGGATGGAATCCTACCGAAATGTCATATGAGGGTTAAGTAAATATCTCATAATCATTTGCGAAGTAATAGGTAACCTGTTCAATCTGTCTTTTTTGGTTACATTACGACAGTCTGCATGTCATGGGGTTTCCTCAATATCCTATCTGAGTTACTCTCAATATTTTTGTATGGCCTGTAAAATCCAAACTAAATTAGCGGATGAATGTGCGCATGAATGTACATTACGGCGGGTATATTTCTATTGGAGATTTTTTCGACTAAGCGAGTATAGCGCATAATGATTCTACGTGTAATTCTAAGCAAATTTGCCGAAGAAACCATGGGTCTAAAATCAATTTGGAGTCCCGTAAAGAAGTGCTTAAATTTTTTATAAAAACATGCTATAAGGGGTTTTTTTGGTATGAGGAATCCATTTCCGGACTTATCTTTTTCTTAAAACAGTGAACATGTTCACATTATCTTTGAAACCTATTTCCGCAATTTGGCAAATTCCAAATTGATTTTAGATCCATGGTTCCTTCGGCAAATTTGCTTAGAATTGCCCGTAGAATCCTCCTATGTTATACGCGCATAGTCAAAATAATTAACCCGTCCAAATGTGCATACTTACATACATACATTCAAATGTATGCACATATCGATGGTCCTCAACACAACGGCACAACAGTTTTTGACTTATGCCAATATCAGGGACGTGAACCGATTTTGAACCGAACCGGTTTTGAACCGGAAAACCGCTCTTTTCTATTAATTAACTGAACCATTAACCGAACCGAAATTTTCCACAAATGTTTGATCCGAACCGAAAACCGAACCACTTTCTATAAAGATTGAAAGGTTCGCTTCAACCAATTTTCAATAGATAAATGTACCCACTTTTTTTCTTTTTGGTAAACATGGTAATACCCATCATGTTTGTTTACCATGTGACCCTTAACCTTGCGCGTTGTTGCACTTGACACTTGACACTTGTACTTGCGCATAATTTTTTTGTTTTTCGAACCGTTGAACCGAACCGAAACCCCGGTTCAAAGACCAAAAAAACCGCTTTGACGAACCAATCCAAAAGTGCAAAAACGGTTCGACCCGCTGAACCGAACCAAACAAATTTTTCATCCGGTTCACGTCCCTGGCCAATATTCACGATAAATATGAGGCATGTGCCACTGTTCAGTGGTAAGGGTTGGCCACTTCGATGGTGAGAAAGATGGCACAATAGCACTCCTATCGGATTGGTAACAAGCAAGCATATGTCGAATTTTTACAGACAAATATGGCTATTTGTCAAACTAATCCGCTATATATTCCATAAATATAAAACTGTGAGTTGTGTCTTTATTGCAGAGGACCATTGATATGTATGTACGTATACATGCATACATATGTATGTATACTTTTGTGGTATGATAAATTTTAACTCACTTTTTTAAATCACCTCTTTCCAGTTTTAATAATCATTTTTATATACATGAAAGTATATAAACTTTTGTGGTAAATATGTTAACTTTTTACTTACTATTTTAAAACTTCTCTTTCCAGTTTAAATAATCATCTTTATTTTACTACATACATATTATTTGTTGTAGCCAATAACGTAGGGGTTCTGATCTTGTTTTCATCATATGAATTCTTATGTTATAAATATCTAATTTGATTTCTAAAGCATTAGCATGCGTGTGCGTACATATGTACATATATGCTATATTAAAAAGCGTAAGTAAAAAACAAAGCAACAACAAACCAAAATCACACGCGTCACACAACACCAACAGTTCAAATAAATTAGGAAACGATACCGATAAAGAGAACCAAAATCAACAAAACAAGAATCTTTTTGCTAAAATTCTAATGCAGACAGGTACATATGTATGTATTTGCGTGGTTTAAGAACTTTTTATGGGAGTCGTTTCGCAAAGCCGGTTAGATTACTTCTTTAGAAATACCCTCATTGCTCAACTCGCTTGGCATGTTGCTCATCACTACTATTGTGACAAATATTGCTAACATAAGAGCATTTTCGATGGAGGCGACGACAAGGGAAGACCATTAACATACGACATCTAAATCCTTGTTCGACGGTGAGTTCTTTCCGATATAAATAATTTCTCCGCTTGAAAAGTTTTCACAGTCTTTTGTCTACATTCATCGTGTGGACTAGAATTAGACAAACAACAATGGTTAGTTCAATATAATACTAAAGTGATTTATTAGTATGGTTTCTTTTTAATAATTAACATATATATTAACTTATTTATTTTATTGCAGAGACTTTTTTTAGCTTTGGCATTGGTAGCGGCTGTCACCGCTGATGTGTCGCACATTTTCTCGCACAGTGATAACCTGCAGGATGATGGATATCATTATCATAAGCCAAGTGGTGGTGGAGCAGTAGTAGATATCCCGGCATCGCAAAAACAAGCAGCCTCGGATTCATATCCATCATACGCAGCCTCTTCACAACAAAACGCTGCAAACTATCCAAGTGGTTCATTTTATGGCTCTGCGTCAGCCCCTTCTGCCTCTTTTTCGGCAGGCACATATGGTGGTTCCTCTTACCAGGCTGCTTCATCTCCAGTCGCTTCTTACTCAGGTGGTTCATCAGATCATGGATTATCTCACCATACAGCCTCTGCGTCAGCCCCTTCTGCCTCTTTTTCGGCAGGCACATATGGTGGTTCCTCTTACCAGGCTGCTTCATCTCCAGTCGCTTCCTACTCAGGTGGTTCAACAGATCATGGATTATCTCACCATACAGCCTCAGCCCCTGCTGTTTCTTACTCACATCATTCGTCTCATCAAGCAGCCTCAGCACCTGTTGCATCTTATTCAGGGGTTTCATCATATCAAGCTGCCTCAGCTCCTGTTGCTTCTTACAGCCATGGCTCATCTCACGTAGCTGCTTCATCTCCAGCAGGTTCTAACTCAAACCGTGCATCTGCTTCATATTCCGAGGGATCTTCCTATCAAGCTGCTTCAGCTCCTGGAGCGTCTTATACACACAGCTCAACACCCCAAGCTGCCTCAATTGGTTCATCTTATCATGCAGCTTCGGTCCCAGCTGCATCTTATACTCATGATTCCACTCATACAGCTGCTGCCTCAGCTCCTGCTGCATCTTACTCAGGCTCTGTTTCAGCTGGTTCATCTTTTGGTAGTGCCGGTTATTTCGGAGGGTCGTCTTACTATGGCACACCAGCTGCATCTGCTCCAGCTCCGGTTCGTAGTGCTTCAGCGTCTGGTCTCCAGGCAGCCGGCGCCAAAGACGAAAGTGGCTACCATTATCAGGCTCCAAAGACCCCATTTGAAAGTAGACCCGTACCAGTAAAAGAATACTTGCCACCTCCAGCACCTAAACAGCCACCACCGCCTCCGCCACCGGCTCCCAAACGACCACCTCCACCACCGGCTCCCAAACGACCACCTCCACCACCGGCTCCCAAAAGACCACCTCCACCACCGCCACCACCATCTCCACCCAAGGAATACCTGCCACCATCACCAACGAATAAACCTGCTCCTCCGGCGCGTCCTTCCCCTCCACCACCTCCGCCACCACCACCATCCCCACCCAAAGAATACCTCCCCCCAGCACCGACAAATAAACCAGCGCCACCAGTCCGGCCAACAGCACCACCAACGCCCAAACGGCCACCACCACCACCACCAACTCCCAAGCGTCCACCACCACCACCTCCAAAAGAATATCTTCCACCATCTTCTGGACCAAAAGGCTACTCCTACCCTAACGACCCCCAACCTCCGTTCACGGCCTAAAAGCTGACGAGACTTTCTAGTATTAGCAAACTTCAATAGATTTTTTATTAAGCAAAAGATTTATTTCCTTATCTTTTCTATGCAAAGACCTGAGAAAATGTGCAATAAAAACGTTATATATGAATGTACAAAAAAGCTTCCTATTCGTTTATTTCCAATGAGGTAAAATTGAAGTAATTTCCTCTTGTGATTATCAATATGCATTATACAGACTTTATATATGTACACAACCCACACCTGACTGTGAAATATTCGAGGGCTAATGTGCATACAAAATTTTAAGAGTGTAAGAAAATTGAAAAGTTCGCCTACACTGGTTTCCGGGCCATACAGACAAATCCTTATAGCCCAGTTATGCATACTTAGCGTTGCATGAGAGTTGTCACATAAGAATCTATTGAATGGGCTTGCGTGTAAGCGGTTACCCAACGCATATTTATGTAGCACTTCACATGTATTTAGAATTCTATTGGGTTTTCATTTTTACGTAAAACTGGTATACATAGCAGTGCAAGTATGTCCCCTTTCAGACACGTCAAGTCTTGAAAGCAATTTTTTTCGCATTATTTTTTGTGTTTTCTATTTGCTTCCACACGCGTCAACTTTAATTGAATTCAAGTCCTTGGTTCTTTAAATGGGAAGCAACGAAAAGATCAAAAGAGACAAGAAAACTTGAAACGAATTGACGGTACGGAGGTATCTGTACTCTTCCCCTCTCTTCCCACCTCCTTCGCCAATGAACGAGCAGACTTGAAAGCAAGACTTGACGTGTCTGAAAGGGGACTATGCATAACTGGGCTACTATAAGATTTCAATGCGAAAGGTTTTGTGCGGGCCATGGTCATTATCAATTGCCAATTTTGTCGCCATTTTATTAAAGACGTTGAAGTCAACATGGTGAGTAGACGATGTAATTTTAAAAAATATTGTTGGAATAATTACCAACGTTGGCCAATGCTTTAATACAGCGCAGGCCATACGAATCCTAAATTATCTGCATAAGTGTGTGTGCCAAGCACATGAGAAGCAATGTGACCAGATGATCACAAAATGCGAAGCTAAATTCGTTTTTAAAAAAGGTTAGAAATTGTTAAACGCTATGAAAACTGAAGTTAAAAAGAAGTCTACTAATTCTTAAAAACTCTATATCTTCCGCAAATCCGATTTTCTGTAAACAACTTCTTAAATAATTCTCATCAAAACACAGAATAGCTAACATCTATCAGGCCAATAACGGCTACATAACTTCAAAATATGCAAAAAGAAGTTTGGGATAAGGAAAATGCAAAAACTTGCAAAAGTACGGTTTAAAGCAGAATTATTAGTATTATTTTTTAAATAGCTAAGAAAGTATTTCTCAAAGAAATGGTACTTTGCACTGTTATTGTTATATTTCAACGATAAACAAAAGCTTGAAAAATATTAAAGCTTTTTAGGAAGCTTAAGTAGGTACTTATTTTTATAGTTCCGGTTCGAATTCTATCATGAATATTTTAATTAAAAAAATGCCAGAAAAATGCCACGAAGTCAGATCTGAATTTCTGAGGCTATTGCATAAACTTTAATGCTAAATCTAGCCTCGAAAAGGCTAACCTGGTCTCACTGATGAGAAGCGAAAGCATAACTTCGTGCATACACATCGTTAAGCCTGATATACAGTTCAATGCGAGCGAGAGCGTGAGTTTTTTTTATTTTGATCAATATTTTCGTTACTACTCAACTTTTTGCTATAGTTGAGACATGAAAAGATGGAGAATTAAAATACCTTTCAGAATTAAAAAATAAAAACTAATTTAAAATGCATTATATGCCACATCTGTCAAAACTTGCCGTTCACATGCGAATGCTTTGCGTACGCACACAGTTGAGTGCGAGCTCGAAAAAAGGCATATTATGAATTTTAAATTAGTGATTATTCTATTATATATATATATATATATATATATATATATATATAATATATATTTTAATTCTCTATCTTTTGATGTATCAACTATTGCAAAAAGTTAAGTAGTAAGGAAGATATTGGTCAAAATAAAAAGCCCACGCTCTCGCTCGCATTGAACTGTATATCAGGCTTTAGCGTTGCTGCGAAAACACGAAGGAGAAACTGCACAATGTGCACATTTTGGCCGGTATTGCTTTAATAAGGTGCATTCTTTTGCAACCGAGTTACAAAAAAACACTCGCTTAAATGACGAAATACACGCAAGGCAACAACAAAAACTCGGCTATTTATCCGCGTTCAGCCAGGTCGGTTAAAAAATACGCTCTATTACAAATTGTTAATGGGAAAGTGGAGAGGGAAATTTGTATTTCCTTATATACGTGACTTATATTTTAAATAAGGTTATATATTACGCAGACACCTCGCATAATTACTCATTTAAACTGTTTTTTGTATCTAAATCCTGTTAAACTAATCACATGTGTGTTGCCAGCTACGAACAACAGGGTTGCTTAAGTAGCTAAAAGGAAATTTTACTCAAGTTGAGCGTTCTTTTGTCGCTCGCTTACAAGAAAATGCAGCTATTGAAATGTATTATATATGGGCAATTCTCAATTAGTTCGAACTTTCGCGTGACTCGACAGTTTTTATTCGGACACATAATTTTCGCTGGTTTATTAACAAACACCACAAACAATCCTAGGGGGTGAGTATAAAAATTCCGACTTTACTTTTTCGAGTGAATTTTTGGACCACCCTTATGTAGATACTAACCTTTACTTTCATTCTTGTATTAGGCTTAATCTAACTCTTATTCTTAACCCGCTTATTAGCACAATTTTGTTAGATTAATGCCATGTGCACGCATATAAAAAGCACTTGTTTCCGTTGCAACCATTTCCGTCCCATCCATATTCGTGAGCATCATATCCGTTGAATTTTAAAATTTACTCCCAACCAACCAACCACCGCTTAAGAAGTTTCTTTCAAAAATTCAATACATTTTCCTACTATTCCAGTTACGCTAAGATTTATGTATTTCTCATTGTTTTCACTTTCGTCTTTATCTTTAATATTTCCTTCACTTTTTTCTTAATCCTTATCATTTATTCCTTCAACATCTGATTTATCTTTATTATATAGTCTAATTTTGAATACGATGTAAACCGAGTGCGAAAACAATTCAAATT